GTTTATATTATTATTGGTCTAATCTACGCAATTCTTTCTCAAGTTCATGCATAAATCACTAAATCAATTGAAAGATGATCAGACTTCCAATGCATTAAGTTCAATAATATAAACTCCTCACGCGAATAACTTAAATTGAAAGAATAAAATCACAAAATCTATATTAAATTGATTAGGCTACATCATAGCCATAGTAGAATAAATCAGTTCATAATAAAAAGAATAAAATCTACGATCATAGTTATGAACAAGGAAGAATAAAACCCAATTTGAGAAAATTGCAATTCTTGATCTCCTATTGTTGAATCCTCTATCTTGACCTTGAAGAATGCCCAAAAAAGGGCTGCCACAAGCCTCCCAAAGCTCTCTTCATTCTAAATTTGAATGAGTATTTATAGGATTTTAAAAACCCTAATTGAAATAGAAGTAGGACTTTGAATAGAAATAGGAAACTGGACGTTTAGTGCATGGTGTCAACACCCCGATAATGTGTCGACACTACACCCGTGTCGGGTTTTTGGCCTCCTTTTGCAATTTCTTCAATGGTAAAATGGCAGATCTGGTTCCTGACTTCTGGATTCTGCACAAGTTGATCTTCAAGTCTCTGATCTCTTCAATTTACTTCTAAAAAGTAAGATTTTTTCCAATTAAATCCTTTTCTACACAAAGAATGAAAATCATGTAAAATCAAACAAAATCTCATAAAACTCATCCAAATATCAATAATATCAAAGTAAAAATTCCTTATTAATATGTATATAAATTTAGCTCATCAATGCATTTTTTTATTTCATTAATTTCTTAATCTTGTAGTGAGTTAACCAAAATCTCAAGCAATTTGTTCCAACACCTTTTCTTAGACGATGCTTTTTATCATTCTCCTATATTTTTTTCCTGGGCAATTAAGGAAATTCTTAATGAGTCCCAAATTCATGCAATACAGCCACTAAAACATTCTAAAGGAAAAGCAAATGATGGAAAAAGAAATGAAATTGATACAGTTATAATACCATGCAGCATTGTAATTATTGTAAACTTAAAGCATGATGTATTGTAGTATAATTGGCTTTTTTTATTTAAAGGATATATAAGAGTTGATGTTTAGGCCTTTAGGAGCTACAATTAATAAGCTTGCGGCTTGGTTATATGAAAGTTGAGTTTATAATGATTTAGAAGATATTGCTTTAAGGGTTTGGTGCATGGTTCGTAAAAGAGGATTATCTGTCTTTTTATTTTATTTTATTTTTTATTTTTCATTTTTTTGAGTAAAAAGAAGGGGATTATCTGTCACACGGTAAATATTGACCTAAACAAAATCTACAGCACACCAAAATGGCGTTGACTGATACTTTTGCATCGATTTAACACCTGCGTACAGACGGAAATGAGTTTTTGATCTGCTCAATTGTCCCTTAACAAGATCTGCATGCAGAGCTGTGTTTTAAACATATTATTACCACAATATCTATGGAAGAAAATGGGTGAGGCAAGTTCAAACGATAAAGACTCGAGAGCGTAACTCCAGTCACGATGTTTGCTGATGGTATAAAGCATACTCATTCTACGAACCAAAAATATCAAAAAAAAAAAAAAAAGGTAGAGTACAATAATGAGCACTAATACCACTGCGCTCTTAAGAACAATTTACTTAATACACCCCCCAAGGCTGCTAATCCACTTTGGATGCTCAACTCAGATCTCTAAAGAATATCGACAACGATAATCAGATTCCTAGATTCCAGCTTTATTTCACAGGACAAGTAAATTCTTTACTGCAGTCTGACAACATGAAACTTGCCGAGGCTTTATGTGATGTGAACATCTTACCAAGGCTGTAAACTTTCCCCATTGGCTCAACCACAAACATTTTTAAGGATTCTATCTCCAACAGCTACAGGATCATGTACCGATGGAATAGATGCCAGGAGTATTACTCCAACCTTAATGATTTCTAATAATAATGCCATGCCATGTGCATCAGTTACAAGAAGCAGCATCATTCCGGAGGTGTTCTACGAGTGGAGGAAGGAGAAGAGCAAGCCTAGTTTTGTATCTTGCAATTCATTTTAACCGTTCTTCCCTCAACCTACGTGACAAAAATATATTTACAGTTAAGTAATTATTTGAATTTCCTATAATCAATCGTGCAAAGCAATATGCTCTACGCCAGGTTGCCTTTCATGCGTGCACACACATAATAGTACCTAAAGTTTGTTTGATATGCCTTTTCAACAACTCTTGAGCTGATAAATGCTCCATGGATTCCTCTTCCTAAAAGTAAATGCACAGCTCACTTTAGGAAGGAACAACAAATGACCAAAATAAAATTTCAGATAAAAGTGAAGAGAGACGAGGATAGTGCAGTTTCTATATGCCACATAATGCTTGCTTCAATTTTTTAATACAAGTGAACTGTGCCATTAAGAACAAACAAATTAATCAATTATAAGGTCATCGCTGAGTTGGTCCCACAAAAATGGGACTAGGAAATAACCCTGCCATTTAGCATTTTTGCATGCAGCAAACAGTCTCAAAACTAGGAACTTATACTCCTATGCTAACAGGCCAAGACTCCCATTACTGCACTAAACATTTAACACTCTCCTTATCTGCCCTTTCTATCTAGCTGTAGTTGTTTTTTCTTCTTTTTCTTTTTTCCCCCAATATATAAACTAATATTTTTTGGGCAGAACCCTCAAATCGCTCCTTAAAGAAGATGGGTAGGGACGGATCCACCCCCCACAAAAATGAAAGGACATTTGGCCCCCAAAATTATCGACTAACCCAAATCAACAATTATTTAACTATTGACGTCATCACCATCACAATCTCCGTTTAGCCCGTGCCAACACATTTTTTTACATGCTAGAGGTTAATGTGTACTAATCCTACTCTTTTTTAAACACCGTGTCATTTGCGTGCCATTTGTTTGACACTATGGCTGGTGGGTCCCACTCTTTATCCCATTTTTAGCTGATATTTTATGGCCAACCTATTTGCCCTAGTTCAAGTTTTCAAAGTTGGGGGTTAAGGTTCTCTTCAAAACCACAAGGCTTTCTCTCGTTTCTTCAATTCTTTCCTGACATTAGTCGAGGGGAAAAGATTGTAGGTGTTTGTGAGTTTATTCTCATGGAATCTTTTTCTAATTCTCGAGCTGGACCTTGTTGATTGTCGAGCCTCTATTGGTGCAAGTGATGGTGCAATAGCGAGAATAGTTGTAAGGGATGTTGGGCTAGTTGAGTGAAACTATGAAAGTTCTCAAATGTATTGTGAGTGTGGCTTCAAGGCACCAAGGTGGACTTTGTGGAGACCGTGGAACATTGGGAGACGATTTTATGGTTGCCGGCACTTCTTGAATGAGGTAAATTTGGGGTTTTACCTTAAGCCAATACAAAATTACTCATCCATTGTTTCTTTTTTTTTTTTTCCAATTTTTATTTACTACTTTTAAGTTGTTTAATGACAAGATTTAAAGTGTCCGTATTTTGTTTAGCATAACTTGGAATTGTCGCATGAAAGAGCCATTGAACTACTGAAATTGTTGATTACTAAGAAAAAGGCTCTTACAATAGAAAATTCAGTATTAAGAAGGCAATTAAGAAACAGAATGAATGGAGGTGTAGTGGTTGAGTCAAGCCACACCATTTCTACAATAGATGAGGGCAACATACAAAAATTGGATGAAATTATTGAGAAAACTATGGCAAATGCTGTGAATGATATTGTTGAAAGGAAATTTGATGTCTTGATTGCAACCTCTGTTGGTGTTGAGCTCAAAAAATTAATTGTTCATACCGTATTTGATGTCTTTGCCATGATGGTTGTGTATTTGATGTTTTGGGTGTTGTTCTAAGTGAGTAGGTGGTGTTTCAAGTGTAAATATATGGCCTTTGTTTTGGTGTTTTGTGGTCATATGTGATGATCAAAATTTTGGAAGCTTGGGAAACATACCTATCAACCATTGTAATGTAATTAAATATGTTATGCAACAATGAAAAAAGAGCTCTTCTACATTTGTAAGTGCAGTTGTAAAGCAATACATAAACACTTAGGTTTTGATAACCTAAAAACTATAGAATAATAATAGATAGTAAACATTTTTGTAGCAAAAAAAAGAAGCAAAAGAACATTCCACTTCATAGCACCAATAGGTTATTCAGAAACACATAAGCATAATACCAAAATAAGCTTGTTCACAATAGTACATAAATACAATTTTCATACATAAATAATAGTAAAACACTAAAAGCCAAATCAGTAATTGTATACAATGCCAATAAACAAAAAAGTAATCATGCCATCATAAACCAATCTTCAGGCTTTCTCAAGCCTTCTCCTTCCCCTTTCCTTTTGAACCTTATTTGTTATGCATCTACTTGGATTTTTTTCTGGATTCCTCTCTGCCTTCATTGATGACAATACCAATAGCCTCCATTAACTAAAAAGAAAAAATTAAGATGCACATTTCACTACCTTATACATTAAAAAAAAAAAACAACTATAAACAAAAAAAAATTTACACAGTAAATATTGTTATCTTTTCTTACACTATCATTAAGCTTTCATTTTTCTTTTCTTGTTGTTCTTCCTTCTACCCTTCCCAGATAGACAGTATCACCTTTTCTACCAACCTTGGTGTTCTTTTTTGTTGCTTTTGATTTTTGTGTAGCATTTGAACTCTTTGTACCTGTTTTCTTGACCTGCCATTAAATAAAATTAATATGTCAAAGTTATCTTGCATAAATAAAGTGTAACATTGCACAAATAAAGTGCAATAGCAAAGTTGCCTTGGTTTGATTAGGGTCTGCTTCTTCTTTGTCTTTGTATGGACATCCAACTTTGTTGTGCCTTTGTTCACCACACACTCTACAAGTGTACACAAATCCATACTTTGACAACTTGATCAATTTCCCCTTCTTAAATTTCTTAGACTCGTCCTTTGCTTTTCTTCTATTCCTTTTAGGGCACCTTGACATTGATCTCATCTTGAGTGGCAAACATCCTCCTTTTGGCCTCTTCCTCAACACTTCATTCCCTCTTAGGCATTTTAGTGTTGTTTCATAAGTTTGAAGGTACTTTTCCTTTTTGTAGTACTCATCAACAAAGTACTCAAAACTCCAATCCTTGAATCTGAATGCACAAAGAACATGTGGGCAAAGAATTCCAATGAGGTTCCATTTTATACATGAGCAATTTCTTTCCTGGACATTGACCACATGTATATACTATTTATACCCATCAAACACAGTAAAGTCATTGTCACCATTCCACCAAACATTGCATTGAATTGATACGTAATTATTATCATTAATTTTCTTCAAAACTCTAAATACAATATTAGTTGCTTATGTATCAACAAACAATTTTTTGTCTTTAAATCTCTTCATAAGCTAGTTAATTAAAGTTATAAACATTGAAATAATAGGCTTGCATCCTACACCCAAAATCCATGCATTAAAAGTCTCACATATATTATTATCAATCACATCAAACTTACAAGACTCATCAAAAAAAGCTTTGCACCATAAATTACCAAGCAGTTCATTCAATTCAGCATAAGCTTTCTCAGACAATGCCCTTAAAGCATCCATTTTATCCAAATAGTCGAACTCATTGGTTGCCCTACATACCAACCAAAATGCAAAGTTTGATGTTATCATCTCTATTTCGCCTTGTAAGATTGCAGTAGAGATGCCTTACACAATGTCCATGCACTATCAATGGTAATACCTTTACTTTTGCATTAATAATGCCCTACACCATAAAAAAATGAAATTAATTATTAAAATAAACACATTCGTAATAATAAAAAATTAATAATAATTGTGATAAATACTTACAGAATGTCTATTAAAAATCATAGTGTAACCCAGTCCATCGCGTAACTCTAAATCATATATAAGCTTTTCCATGAACCATTACCAAGAATCATTGTTTTCTGACTCAAAACAGCCCATGTAATTGGGCACATCTGATTATTTCTATCTCTACCAACAACAGATAACGGTATACCCTTACATATTCCCTTAAGAAAACAACCCTCATCCCCAAATATTGGTCTGCATCCTTTTTTCAGCCATCACTAACTGCTTTCAAACACACATACATCCTACTAAACACTTTTTCACCAACAAAATTCTCGTCAATTGTAATAAAAATTGAGTTTCCAAAGTTTACTTCTTTTAAGTACATCCTAAATGCATTAATCATAGTATACTCATCTCTGTAACCTCATTCCATTTCCTTTAAAACCATTCTTTTTGCCCTTTCACATTTCTTGAAGTTAGCATTTACCTTAAGTTCATTATAAGCAAATGTCATCATATTTTTACATTTTATGAAAGGAGTGGCATAAATTTTGCTTTTGAAGTACTCACCCACCATCTCACAAGTTATTATTTTGTTGTCAATAATTCTAAAGCAAGTGTGTTCAAAGTAGTAAGTCTTTACCTTGAAATTGTTGTCCCTCTTCTCAAATGAAGTATAAATCTCCCAACTGCACAAACCAGCCTTGCAAACAAACCTTTGCCTTTTAGGTTCATCCCTGATGTGTATAAGAGGACATCCTTTCCTCAGAATAATGTTTGACTGCTTCCTAGAATTGTTTGGAACTTTGAAACCTCATTCCAACTTAAAAAATAAGGACCTCCCAAGCAGGATTAAAGTAGACATTTATAGCTCTTGTTGATCTATCTACTACCCCAGGAGCAGAAAAATGTCATCTTCAAAATCTGTTGATAAGTCCCTCAACTTGCCAGCATCATCACTTGGAACATATTCACTATCTCTCCAATTTTTATCACTGTATATGCCCTCATCATCATTATAAACTGGAACTGATTGGGATGGATGTATTAGATCTCCCTTCTTCCTTTTTTTTAGGGGTCAAGTCATTCCCCTTGTATGACTTCCTACTTTGTAGCAATGTTTTATATCTCTTCTCTGTAAGTTTGGCTTTTCCCTTTCTCCTTCTGGCCTTTTCAATAGAATCTATTGGAACCCCCTTGCTTGTGGATGTTCAAGTTGGATCTGATGCTTTCTTTGTGGGAGTAGACATAGGAATAGATCTAAGAATATGTTTCTTTGCAACAGTTTTGTACCTGACTCTGTTCTTGGTGTTGAAAAACCTGGAGGAACTTCTAATCCTTCTGTTGATCTTCTTAGAGACCTTGCAATAGCCTTTATAGCAATGGCTTCACTATCATCTCTGTCACTACCATCAACAGGATCTACTTCTTCATCTGTTGATTTCCAATTATCAACAGAACACTCTTCTTCATAGCCACCTCTATTACTGCATTCACCTCTTTCATATGAATTTTCAAATTTACCTTTATTACCACCAATGGCCTTATCTTGGGCTATGTTCCCTATGTCACCTTCCTCTTCTTCCTCATTAACTTCATTATTACCATTCGGGCCTACCCTATCTAGTGGTCCCCAATCCTCCTAAACTACATTATTATCAATCCAACCTATTGCTAGAGTAATTTAAACAAAATTAATCTCATGGTCCACATAAAACTCACATATCACCTTTTTTTTTACAATCCTCATAATATTCCTAATATTAGGATCACCTGCCGAAGACTTTAAATACCTAAACATGCTTACTAACATTCTTTTGTAGTAAACATTTTTAATCATAACGTCATAAACCTACTATGAAATTCATAATGACATCAACATTCAACCTATTATAGTCAAACGCCTATTCTGCACATATTCCCCCTTTGTATTCAAATGGAGGTCTCACCACGAATGTCCCCCCATGAAAAATAGACAAAATCCCTCAATATTCATTTGCTATTCTGGTCAATGGTAATACAAACTAAAATTAATGTGGTTCATCAATAATAAAATATATTATATAATTGACAAAATGCACGTACATCCAACACTTACCGTCAACGACAAACTAGAAAACTTTATAAACAAACATTTTTCAAGAGAAAGCAACTGCAAAGGCTTACTTTTACTATGTCCTTCACCTTGAACCCCACCACCAACTGCAACACTGAGTGTGCAAGGGCCCTAAAAGCTTTAGTGTTTTCTTGAGATTCGCTAGAAAGAGTTGAACCAACTCTCGTCCCGTACTCAAAAGTGAATTTAATCCAAAGATTTCTTTGAGAAATGAGTCTTCAATTTTTCGCTACAAATCTGAGCAAAGACTTAGGTTCTCCTTCTTCCTTTTTAGGGCTAAATGGGGTCCATGACAAGAAAAGGGGAATAAAAGGTGATACAGTGTTTAAAAAAGAGAGATTGGTACACATCAGCTTCCAACGTGTAAAAAAATGACACGTTGGCACGGGTTAAACGGAGATCATGACAGTGATGATGTCAGCAATTAAATAATTGGTGATTTGGATCAGTCGATAATTTTTGGGGGGCCAAATGTCCCTTCATTTTTGTGAGGGTTGATCCATACCCACCCATCTTTTTTAAGAGGCGATTTGAGGGTTCTGCCTATTTTCTGTGTAGTATTCAAGCAAAAAATAAAAGCTGACAAAATTGAAATCCAGCAGAAGAAACCTAGAACAACTTCACACGTATAAGAACAGCAAAACTAGGAAAACCAACCCCCTCTTCCTGTTCTACTCCTTCCCTTTTGTTTGGCAGGTTATCTGTCACTGGCATAGGTAAAGGTTGTGGGAGAGATTTTGCAATATCTCCATATTGTGGCTGTCAAAAAATTTAGAAGAAACAGCCAATGAGTGAACTGAATGCTTCATGAGTAAAAAACCAAAAGGAATCCTCCATTGCATAAGTAAGAAATGAAAAGCACTCAAATAACGATACAAACCTGGCTTTCCTCAGGAAAACTATTTCTCAACCATGAGCCGCAAAGTGCATAAAGAGAAGAAGTCCCATTTGTTATTCTGACCTGCATTACAAAACACGAGAAAGAGCAGAAAATAAAGAAATCACCACATCCACTGTAAACTCACAGTTCCATGGGATTTCCCAAAAAGAACAGGCCAAACAAGCCAAAACATTTTCTCATAAGATGAATGCTCCATACAGC